CTTCGACGTTGTTCGCGCCTAACGCTGTTTTCGGAATCGACGTCAGAGGGCGCGCGGCTCGGTGCCATACCGGTTTGACGTGCGGCGTAGTGTGCGGGTAGGCCGTAACAGACGTAAAGAATAGAATGACATTTGTTAAACATAATTTCTTACCGTTTCACAAAGAGCTTCTTTTGACCGAAGAAGAAACGGTTGAAGATACTCCGCAAGCATCCGCTTATTCGTAATTTTTTGAATGTCCAATACCTTACCAGACTTATTGGTAGCTAGCGATACACTCCGGCTTCGCACGGGTGATTTGTAAATATCGATAGAAGCGCCATCTATCGGGTCCAATAGTGAATCTAAACCATCCAGGGACTCCTCAAACACATACAAAAAATTTCATCAAAATCGTTTGAGCCGTTTTCGAGCTGTGGCGAGACTAACGGGCAGCAATTGATTTTTATATATAAAGATAAAGCCTGCTAGAAAATAATAAAAAGTTAAAAATTTTGTACAGCCGACTTCAATATAAGTTATTAAGAATAACCCAAAAACTATTGGTCTGACCTTGATCAAATTCATGTGGGATCACATGAGAAGTACCAGCTTTCAAATAAAAAAAGAATCATCGAAATCGGTTCACGCAGTAAAAAGTTATGAGGTAACACACATAAAAAAAAAGAAAAAAACATACAGTCAAATTGAGTATCGTCTCCTTTTTGGAAGTCGGCATAAAATACAGATTTTTTGGTAATAAAGCCTGCTAGATGCTTTATGATAAAAAATTGTTGTTTATATTTTTTTTAAAAATACAGATTTGGCAATTAAGCATGCTAGTTGATATACGAGTAGTTATAAAAACCTAGGCACAGTTTTTGGAACTCATTAGGTTAGTGCATAGAAAACATACCAGCCTCCACACCTGCTCAAAAGTATGACGCATGCAGCCATCGCTCTATATTAAGAGGCAGTGGAAGACCTTGAAGAAATCTAATTAAGATTGACATACTCAAATCTACCTTTCAAAAGTTAACTGATTTTTGCACAATTTTTTCTCGATTTTACGTTGGCTGCAGTTTACGAGTTTTAAGCCGCTATCGGAAACCCGTGCTGTACTAATCTATTAAAAAGCACGCCTCGCTGAGCGCGAATATAACCTATAAAGTACTTCTTCGACAACGTTGCCTAGAATTGTACTTGTTGTTACTACCCGTAATTGTAATTCTAGGTTTATTATATCTGAGCAGCTGGACAGATCTCCAAATTAGCAAACCGTTAATCACTGAGTTTTATAACGGCTCTATTGAGATTCACTTTAATAGGTCAAACTCGTTGACCCAAATAGTTACAAGCCGAGTGATTCTCATTTAGATTCTCATGAGACAGACGCGGTTTGATTAGAAGAAAAAAATTGTGAGTTAAAGATGGATGTCAGTGATATAGTTTGAACGGATAATTTTATCTGCATACGAAACATATTTTCTAGGTGGTACAGCCACGCCGCTGATTAGTGAGCTGAAGTGGCAATGGGCCGGCCATATAGCTCGAAGAACCGACAAACGATGGGAAAAAAGGTTCTTGAGTGGCGGCCTCGTATCGGCGGACGAAGTGTAGGGCGTCCCCCCACTAGATGGAGCGACGACCTGGTAAGTAATGCAGGTGGCTCAGGATCGTGTTTTTTAGCATTCCTTGGAGGAGGCTTATGTTCAGCAGTGGACTTGTGAAGGGCTGAGTTATGGCGCTGGGTGCCGCGGATACGAATCCCGCACGGAACAAGTATTCGTATGGCCTACAAGTGGTTGTTTCGGGTCTGGATGTTTGTTCTTTTGCAATTTATACTCGTATAATATGTAAAGTACCTTTAAGATACAAGAGAAAATCCTATTGTGGGGGTAATGTTTAAAAAAAATTATGTATTGCCTTAAAGTCGTTTTGTGAGACATTGGTTTTGTTTAACGTTAGGCTGGCTTACGTGGCAGCTATGTCTTAAACAGGAATGCTCTCGTCATGCGTATTTTAATGCTTCCGCTCAGCTGTGCCTTCACAATGTCAATGCGCACTATACTCGTCTTACAGTACACCTGCAGGCCTTACGCTAACTTTGTTGACATCAAAATTATGGTCTCATTAATGTCAACAAATATATTTCATAAAACTTATGACGAAATGTACAATACATTTATTTATTTATAAATAGGCTGCACTAAAAGTATCGGGAATGGAATATTTCCACTGTTCCTGTCATATTAAAATCTTTTTAATTGAAAAGTCCTTGGTTTTAAAAATCGAATACCATTTATTTATTTAAAAAAAGATTCTCGGTCTTGTCACAAGGTTTTGTCAAACTTGTTTAGTCGTTGAGAAAATGGAATTGACTCGAAAAAATTCAAGAGTGATGATTTATTATGACTTTCGAAGTGGTTTAACACAAAAACAGTGTGTTGACCGGATGATTTCTGCATTTGGTGATGAAGCCCCATCCAAAACCACAATTTATCGCTAGTTTGCTGAATTTCAACGTGGACGTGTCAAGCTCAGTGATGATCCCCGTCAAGGTCGTCCAAAAACTGCAGTCACTCAAGAAATCGTTGGCATGAGTCAAATACAAATAATCTTGCATGAACAATTAGGTGTAAAAAAAGTTGTTTTCCCGATGGATACCGCATTCGCTCTGTGAAGAGCAAAAAAGCGGCTCGCGTTACTTGGTGCGTCAGAACTCTCGAAAGATTCCACGCAGAATCCTCAAATGCTGTATACAACATAGTATCAGGTGACGAAACCTGGATATACGCGTATGAACCCGAAACAAAAAACCAGTCACGAGTTTGGGTGTTCGAAAATGAGTTAACGCCAACAAAAATTGTTCCTTCACGACGTGTTGCAAAAAAATGGTGGCCACGTTTGTCTCCACAACCGGCCATGTTACGACTATTCCTCTTGAGGTACAAAGAACGGTTATTGCAGAACGGTATGCTAGCATTTGTTTTCCACAGGTCGTTTCTGAACTCCGTAAAGAGAACTGCAACCGCCGCATCATCCTCCATCACGACAATGCGAGTTCTCACACCGCACAATAAAAGAGTTTTTAGAGCAAGAAAACATAGAATTATTAGACCCTCCGCCGTACAGCCCCGACATAAGTCCTAATGATTTCTGTACTTTCCCTAAAATAAAGAATAAATTGCGTGGACAGAGATTTTCATCACCTGAAGAAGATGTGGACGCCTACAAAACGGCCATTTTGGAGACCCCAACTTCGGAATGGAATGGTTGCTTCAATGATTGGTTCCATCGTATGGAAAAATGTGTCAAATTTCACGGAGAATACTTCGAAAAGCAATAAATACATTTTTAAATAGTAATGTTGTGTCACTTCCTTGATTCCCTAAATTTTCAGTGCCGCCCTCGTACTGTATTGTACACCTCAATGAAAAGGATTACAAAGGGCGGACCGCATTTTCGCCCAGTCAACCCGGGAAATAATGCCATAGGTACTAAAATAAAAAAGTAAATCCGAAAAAAAATCTATGAATATTAAATATATTGATAAAATAGAAAATAGAATAATAATATATATACAGGGTTATTTTTCAAAGAGTACCCAAATTTTAAACATAAGCAAATAAATAAAACACTTACTAAAGATTAAAGTAAAGTAAAGTAAAGTTGCAGCCTATTTACGTACACAGGCCTCCTCTCATTTCTGAGAGGGTTTTATAGGGCAAGGAAATGTCCGCTGCGCTGCCCCAATGCGTGTTGGCGAACTTCACATGTCTTCGAAATATTTCTTTTATTTCTCAGACATGCAGGTTTCCTCACGATGTTTTCCTTCATCGCCGAGCACGTGGTAAATCAGCTTAAAATTGCAATTAACAATTTCATTGGTGCCGGCGGGGATCGAACCCGGGTTGCTCGAGTACTGTGAAGCTTACAGCGAGCGCTAACCATCTGAGCTACCACGGCTCTAGTAAAGAGTAGACCTAGAGTAAATAAGAATTCTACTTTTATTTGAAATTATCCCAAATTGAATGTGATTTATGGGCAACAACGTTTTTGCCTACCGATCGACCCTTACGAATGTGTGCGTGCGCAGTAAAATCAGTTAAAATAATGCATTACCACGCATTTTGAATTTAAAAGAGAAAAGGAACAGAATGTTTGAAATTTCATTTCAATAAATTTTTCTTCATCATTTGCCTTTATTACTTATTCTGAACTTTCTCTGCCAATTTATAGTAGTTATATGAAATGCATTGTTTTTTACTAGAGCCAGCTTACAACCATAAAGTTTGTCTTTTACTTTAGTTCTCTGCTCTCGACCTGTGTCCTTAGCTCTATAGCAATGTGTATAGTATTCACGAATTTATTGAAGACTAGCTGTTCCCCGCGACTTCGCCCGCTTGTAATTTAGAGTTTTAATTATATTGCTCAGAACCCTAATTCTTTTTCTCAAATATAAGTAACCTAAGTTACTCCTTAGAACATCAACTATGTGCCTGTGAAAATTCCGTCGAAATCGGTCCAGCCGTTTCGGAGATTAGCCGGAACAAACAGACAGACAGACAGACAAAAATTTTAAAAATTGTGTTTTTGTTATAAGTACCGTATATACATTCATATGCATTTAGTAAAAGCTGTTATTTTAACATTACAAACAGACACAGGGGTGTCACTTCCACTATGGAAGGTATGGAGCACTCCATACCTCAAGTTTTTCAAGGTATGGAATTCCATAGCTGAAATTAGGAAATAAATCGCATATTACTACAAACCCCATATAAATAAATCGCAAGCCCTTAAACCTCAATACCCCACATCTTATAGTTCAATAAATAAGTTGAGTATATACACTGCAAACTCTTAAACCTTAATACCCCACGAGTAATGCGAACAAATTTGAAAATCGCGCCACCATTTTCCATACCTCAGATTTTTACAAAGTGACACGCCTGAACAGACACTTCAATTATTATTATTATTATTTGTATAGAATAGATAGAAAAATGTTTACTTACTCTGCCCTGTATCACTGAGTTGCAGCTGTTGCAAACTGCCGGTCCGCCGTCTCTTGTTGACTAAAACAAAAAAAAATATGGCTTTTAATAATGTATTTATTTACTCCTTACGCCTATATAGTTAGTTTTTTTTAAATTTTTGTATTATACTATCTGTGCTCGTGCCCGGCATGCGTTGCATTGTCTCTCTTGTGTCAGAAACATTCGCACGCACACAACTACTCGCCAATATTTCGTCCTATCATTATCATCATTACAGCCCTTCACAAGTCCACTGCTGAACATAGGCCTCCCCCAAAGAATGCCACAAAACACGGTCCTGAGCCACCTGCATCCATCGACTTCCTGCATGTCTTACCAGGTCGTCACTCCATCTCGTGGGGGGACGCCCTACACTTCGCCTACCGGTACGAGGCTGCCACTCGAGAACCTTTCTTCCCCATCGGTTGTCGGTTCTTCGAGCTATATGGCCGGCCCACTGCCACTTCAGCTTACTAATCCGTTGGGCTATGTCGGTCACTCTGGTTCTACTGCGGATATCCTCATTCCTAAGTTTATCACGCAGAGAAACTCCGAGCATAGCCCTCTCCATAGCTCGCTGAGCGACCTTGAGCTTCCTCATACGGCCAGCAGTGAAGGACCACGTCTCAGTTCCGTAAGTCATCACTGGCAACACGCACTGGTTGTACAATTTCGTTTTAAGGTTTTGAGGTATGTCTGACGAGAAGATGTGTCGTAGCTTCCCGAACGCTGCCCAGCCGAGTTGAATCCGTCGATTGACCTCTCGGTCGAAGTTGGACTTACCCAGTCGGACTATTTGTCCCAGGTAAACATACTCGTCAACAACTTCGAGCTTAGTGTTCCCAACAACTATCGGCATAGGTGTGACATGGACATTAAACATGATCTTAGTTTTGTCCATGTTCATCTTAAGACCTATCCGTTGGGAAACACTATTGAGGTCATTGAGCATAGTGCTTAGGTCCTCCAGCGATTCTGCCATAAGGACTATATCGTCGGCAAATCGAAGGTGAGTGATGTACTCGCCATTGATGTTGATACCGTATCCTTTCCAGTCCAGAAGCTTGAAAACGTCTTCCAATGCAGCGGTGAAGAGTTTCGGGGATATGACGTCACCCTGTCTTACACCTCTCTGCAATTGGATAGGTTAACACTTCGATATACCGACAGTCAACTTGGCACCGCTGAAGGGACTGCAACACCGCCCAAATTTCGACGGAATCAAAGGCTTTCTCATAGTCCACATACGCCAGACATAGTGGCAAATTGTACTCTTCGGACTTCTGTACAACTTGCCGAAGGGTATGTATGTGGTCTATGGTGCTAAAGCCCTTTCGGAAACCGGCTTGTTCGGGAGGCTGGAAGTCGTCAAGTCTGCGCGCGAGACGATTCGTAATGACTCTCGAAAACAGCACGTAGACGCGGCTCAGAAGGGAAATCGGTCTGTAGTTCTTCAAGAAAGCGTTGTCACCTTTCTTGAAGAACAAGACCACCGCACTTCTGCTCCACGCCTCCGGTGTAATGCCACCATGGAGGACGGAATTAAAGAGCTTCTGAAGGACTTCAAGTACCGGTCTTCCACCCGCTTTCAGAAGCTCCGCTGTAATTCCATCCTCGCCTGGGGCCTTACCGTTTTTAAGGTGCTGGAGAGCCATCCTAATCTCGCTCAGACTGACATCCGGGATATCTTCGGAATAGTGTTGGATGAGACTCGCTCTTGGATCGTTACTCACACTTGCGTGTGGCTCCAACGATGATGTGTACAGCTGCCCATAGAACCTCTCAATCTCACTCAAAATCTCAGGTGTCCCGGAAACGATGCTGCCACATTCTGTCTTCAGCTTTGACAGTTGGCTCTTTCTGGCAGACAGATCTCTGGCAAAGACTTTGGAGCCTTGGTTCCGCTCGATCGCTTCTTCAATACGAGCTGTATCGAAGTTGCGTAAGTCCCGCCGCATGCATTTGGAGATCTGTCTGTTCAGATGCCTGTATGCTGTCAAGTCTGTTGAAGAATGTAGCTTCATCTCCCGTCTAACAGCCATGAGATTAAGAGTGTGATCGGAGAGTTTTTGCTTAGCTCCAACCGCATGGACAGTTTCCACGAGCTTGTCATTCATATCGTCCACTTCATTGCAGTCTTCTAGGCACTGAAAACGGTTTTGTAACTCGAGCTGAAAGGTTTCGGGACTTTGAAACAGAGCACGAGGGGGACGGAGCGTTGACTTCATTAGACGAGACCTCTCCAACTTAACGTTTAGGTTCAGTGTGCCTCTAACCATTCGGTGATCGCTACCAGTTTTCACCCTCGCGATCACGGAGACATCACTGATCAGTTGTCGTCTGGTCGTCATAATGAAGTCAATCTCATTTTTTGTGGAACCGTCGGGGCTCGACCAGGTCCACTTCCTGTGGGGCCGCTTCTGGAAGAAAGAGTTCATCATAAAGAGTCCCTCTTTCTCCATGAAGTCGGCCAGCTGCTGGCCCCTTGGGTTCCGTTGCCCTATTCCAAATTTCCCTACTTTCAGCTCACCGTTCTCTCTTGTGCCTAGGTTTGCATTGAAGTCTCCCATTAACACCGTATATTGGGTTTTGGAGGAATGCATGGCTCTAGAGATATCCTCATACATTTCCTCCACCTCCTCATCGGGGTGTGCCGAGGTTGGTGCGTAAACCTGTATGACCTTCAGCGAATACCGTTTGGTGATTCTGAGTATAAGGTACGCAACCCTCGTCGACACACTCCCGATTTTTACAACGTTGTTAACGAGAGACTTGTGGACGATAAATCCGACACCTCCTTGGGACAGATGGTCGCCCTCCCGGTGATAGAGCAAGTTGCCGGATTCGAGGATTACCGTGTCCTCCCCTCTCTTCGGACTTCAGATAATCCTATAATATGCCAGCGCAACTTGTCTATCTCTTCTTCCAGCTCCACGATCAATTTCGTCCTAATTGGAAATGAAACAGAAAATGGGCATTATCATCTTCCTTATTACTAAAGATAATAAAAAAAGCTACGGTTGTCAAACGTGATATTATATATTATACGTGGTAGAGCCATGCTGCAGCTATATGAGTCACCACGTTCTAGTGACCACGCTCTCACAGAATACCAGTGTGTAACAGCGGAATAATGCTGCTTTGTTTCGTATGGTGAGTGTAGAGAACCGGATACCCTTTTTACTGGAAACGAGGCATTCCATCTTAGTCGTGAGAGGAGACAACGCATCTGCGTTTTGATTCTGAGTCGAGGATAGACGTAGATATCTATGGGCCACAGCCCGACAGCATCCACTTACCATTACTGTGTGTTCGCTGGTCTCCCTTATTCTCGATACAACTATAATAGCTGCAGCGTGGCTCTACCATGTATAGATATGATAGAATTTGTAATAAAGGAATCATTTAAAATACATGTCGCGTTATCTACTACTTAAAATAAACCTAGATTTAATGAAACCAGTAATGGACAGTTATTTATTGGCATCAATTGCCAATTGCAAAGGACTTCCTTACTGTTCTACATTGTACAGTCCTTGGATCTAATTGTAAGCATTGCACAACTCTCGATTGACCTTGTCATTCAATAAATAAAGTATGCATATCCGATATTGTATGCGTGATAAGGATCTCTTTAAATTTTAACATGACTTCATCTCCATAATATAGATACAGTGTTAAGGGACACACTGAAATATACGTTTGTAATTGGACGGGAACGGCATTTAGGAAAAACAACAAATCGCAAATGAACGATTCTGCCGATAATAGGACTAACATTATAAATGTATCAGTTCTGTTATAATTAATAATTCATGGCCCTACTTGCAGTCGTAGTAAATTACTCGTAATACTTAGTAAAGTTACAGCCTATATACGTCCCACAACTGGGCACAGGCCTCCCCTCATTTCTGAGAGGGTTTTAGAGCAAGCAAGGGTTCGCCTATCTTTTTCTTTTGTCATATAGGGAAAAGAGAGCGAGAGAGAGGGAGGGAGAGAGCAATCTTGGGCATTTTTAATACGCTTTTATAAGCTTCTCGTGTATCTATCTATTTGTCTATGTAACGGAATATTTTAATGTGATTTTCACCAACTTGTAGACGGCCAATTGACTTGAAAATTTGCATTCATACCAAGGACCGATGACAAAACAATAATTTATTACTTTTATCCTAGTATCCTAAACATGATCACCAGGGTCATTCTCTCTAGAAACATTACAGCTCATGATCAATGCGTGTTTTTTTAATATTCTTAAATCTCTCTCTCTATCTATTTGTCTATGTAACGGAATATTTTAATGTGATTTTCACCAACTTGTAGACGGCCAATTGACTTGAAATTTTGCATTCATACCAAGGACCGATGACAAAACAATAATTCATTACCTTTATCCTAGTATCCTAAACATGATCACCAGGGTCATTCTCTCTAGAAACATTACAGCTCACGATCAAGGCGTGTTTTTTAATATTCTTAAATCTCTCTCTCTCTATCTCTCTCTCTCTCGCTCTCTCTCTCTCTCTCTCTCTCTCTCTCTCTCGCTCTCTCTCTCTATACATATATTTCATCTTTGACAACATGAGTAATGCTATGGGCATTACTGGTAGCATTTGACTTTCAAATAGTACTTCGTAAAAGTGAGTTTTGAATAAAAAGTAGAGTCAGATCTACATCATACGCATATTATCTTATTGAAAATCCTACGTAACGAGCTAGTGTGGAATGGTCTTAACAAATAGGAAAAGGTGGGCGCATGGCTATTACACGAGTGCGTCAATATAAGTAAGTTTAATATGCCGGCTCCACACGAATGGTAATAGTGATGTTCCTACTGTGGCCACTTGGAAATGCATTGGCCTTGTACGGCATTGCGCCTTCGTCATGCGCTTTCAAGTGCAATGTGTTTACGTTACGATGCATTACGTATGTAATTACGAGTTAGAACATTATATTCATTGATATTGGTTTTTTAAGGGAATTTACTCCCTAGCATATTCCATACAAACGAAGTTTGACCCTAGATTGGATATAAACCA